AAGAATGTATTCCTGGATTTTAAGGTATTTTGTACGATCAACGAAAAGACGTAAGGCTACATAAAAACTGCATCGTGTTTTTGAAAGAGGATTGAGTTTGAGCTTCAAAACGTATTTACCGGCACGTACATTTAATGGTACACATCTGAAACAAACAGTAAGAAATATCTAAGCTGTTAGAGAAAAAATTAAATTTCAAAAGGCTAAATTTGTTTTAAAATCTGTACTTTTTGCTTAGTTTTTTCATCCATAATACTTCCGCTTATAAATCCTTTTTTTTATCAGTACTCTATAGAGAAAGTTACAAAAAAAAGGCTTTGCGCTTAAAATGTTTCCAGTATTATGTGTATTATAAAACATAGCTAATATTATAGTTTTTATATATTTTGTATTTATTCTTTCAGTATATCCAAAACCTGTTAAATTTTCCAGTTTGCTTATTAATATCGAATGAGCAAATATAATTTTATTTGAGTTGATGAAATACGGAAAAAATCTGCTTTTACAAACACAGTCGTAAAATACACAAACATAATTTTTAAAAAAATGCTTTATAATATACTTACAATTATTTACATTTCATGTTGTAGAGTTTAAGAAAAATAGTCAATTACAGAACCAAATCTTCAAAAACAATGAAAAATAAAATTTGATATAATCCATACAATAAGGAATTAATCTACTTTTATTTTTTTTGACTTATGAATATTTGATAAAAAATTATTTTTTTATAAATCAACACATCGTGTAATTTAAACAAAAGAGAAAAAAATAATGTTTAGGTAAATGAAACATTTCACATTAATTCTTTAATGATTACTTATTTATCGTTACTTATATTTACCTTTAAGGTATCCAATCACTCTAAAATCATGATTTTTTTTAAAAATTGACAATTTTTTTTTTTATGATTGCATTTTATAGGTCATTGTATTAGCCTTATGAAAATACCATGGTTTTTATTTTCCATTCACTAGAACAAAAGCTACAAGTGTTTTAGTAAAAGCAGATGCCAAACTTTAAAATGCGTTTTGCTCGAAATGTGTTTCTTTCGAAAAGCTCCAACGGGGACAGCAATTGCTCAAAAAGTTTTTTAAATAATTTGTTAAAATTTTTTGTGTATGTTCTGTTTAACAGTAAAAGTGTTTTAACATTCAGATTTATCAATCCCTGTTTTATTTCGAATTTTACAGTTCTTTATGTGCTATAATCACTGTTTTTTTTAAAGCAATCTCATATAATAACTAAGATAAAGTGTTCTAGTTTTTGTAAAAATTAAAATATCTCTTATCCTGAAGGTCATTTCAAAAAGGAATAGCAAAATAATACATCAAAATTGAAAAATTGAGAATTTGTTCATTTACTATTTGTACAGAGCGGGCCCTTTTTCGTAATTTTTTGTCAATTTTTACCCGTTTTAGTAGTAATAATTTATTTTTCTCTTCTTAATTTTAGCCTTTTTTTCTGAAAATGTACTAAATAAATCTAAAAACAACAAAGAAATCTCCGTAACTCCATTTTTTTTTTTAAAAAGTTGTCGTAAGTAGTCGGATACCTTAAAATACTCAAAAGCATTTACGTTTTTTTTTTTTCAAAAATATTTTATGAAAGTACTTTAATAATCCCTAAGAACAAAAGTTTGGGCCATTTTTACGTTTGTGACTTCAACTCTCATGTTTATACATAAGAAAAACTTATTTCATTGCATATTCATTATAAAGAATCATATTGGTATATACTATTTTATTCAAGCATAAAAAAAGTTGTCTTAATAGAATAGAATTTAATAAACATAAATTTATTTAAGTTCATTAGTATTTATTGCTCTCATAGACTTCTTTTCCCCAATAAATTAGTTTAAAAATCATATTCTTATATAAAATTATTAACTTAAGCAGAGAGAATTCTGAAATTTTCTTTTCATATAAAAAGATTAATCCTTTGCAAATGTTTTTCACCATCTTATTACCTATTATAAATACTTCAACAAAAAAAGCTATTAAAGTTGGTTTGTTCATCTTCTAAGACTAAATAAACTAGCATATATTCTTTTAAAAAATATATTAAACATCTTCACAGAGCAAAGGCGTAATGATACTCATATATCTTCTTAAACATTTATTCCCTCAAACGAAAAAATAATTCTTGCCTTCCCATTATGAGCTGAAAAGATGAATATATCTATAATATTGAAGAAGGAAAAAGAAAATTATACAGATGTATATACATATCTTGTATCTTTATTCTCCGCAACTTCCATCGAGCAAAAAAAAAAAAGCAAAGAAAAACACCTGCTAGTTGTCCGCAAATGTTTTAAGCATAAAAGTCATCCATTAAAGAAGGGAGTCGATACAGCTCCTATCCCCTGACATACATTCAACTTCTGCAAAATAAACGAATGCATGAAATAACTGAAAAAATCCAGTTTAAAATACAGACAAATAGAATAAGAGAAATAGAATGTTTTTTACCTTGTATTCAGTTACAAATTTCATTTTGAAAAGGAGAAATGAGAAGGGAGGATGAAATTCACCCACTCCCCCCACGAGTTTTTCCCAAATGAATCGTGTTTATTGAACGTCTAGCGGAAACACGTACACACATGTAAACTGAGGGGTGGGTTACTGGTATATATGTCGTTTCCGAACTCCCGTCAGAAACAAAGAAGTTTCAGTATTTGCATTTTTATGTGCAGTGTAATGGGAATTGGGGCGTGGAAGTGTTTCTCTTTTAACGAAGGGGATTCCTTTTCCATCTTTCGCTCCTTCCTTTTCTTTACTATTATTTTTTGCAAAGCAGTTTTATGTAGACCCCGGTTTTGTAGCAGACATGTCAATTTAGATTCCGTTTTCCGTAGGATACAGACTTTAGAACACGTGCTATATTGATCGTTCCTTTGGCTTTTCGGCTACGTGCTCGCATTATATGAACAAGCTATAAAATGCACGATTACTTTTTGTATTTAAACTGTTGATTAAGAACCAGTTAAGTGTATAGGAATATTATGCAGGCCGAAGATATTATAAAATGAATAAGTAAACACTAGGATTAAAATAATAACACAAAGAACACTGGGGTTCAAAATTAAGAGAATTTTTTGATTTTGTTGATTATTTCCAGAACTACTGTACAGATTTTAATGCAATTTGGTATGTATGTAGGGCTGATATAATGCAAAAAATAACCATTCAACAGTTAAAGTACACATACATGATTGTGCGTAACACTCATCCAAGGTAGAACGTATGAAACCGCAGTTGTAGAATATAACAAACAAAATGATTAGTCAGGGGTATGGCCCCCTCATTTAGATAAACAGGTCTGACATCGTGATTTTATACTGGAAATAAGGGAACTTATGAGTTCCTGTGGCAATTAATCCCACTCGTTACCCAACTCTGTTTTCAAGCCTTGGATGGCTCTCGAAGGGGAGTTACGAGTTGCAATTGCCCTCCCCAGGGCGTGCCAGCCCTGCTCCATACGAATGAGATCTGGGGATCTAACTGGTCAATCTAGTCAGTGAACATTCTCAAGTTCAGGGAATTCGTTGACCAGATGAGATCCATGTGTCTCACTTTGGCATCCATTAAAATAAAATCAGGACCAACCGCACCCATGAAAAAGCAAACATAAGGCTCCACGACCTCCTCCCTATGCCTCATAGCAGTCACACTGCCTCTTTCAAAGACTTGATTGCTTGCTACTTACGGGAGTAGGGCTCGCTGCATACTCCCTTCCTAGAGAAGAAAGTTGCTCATGCTGTCCAAGTTTGGAAGGGATTAAAAATTTCAAATTTCTTGGTGCTTTCGATTCTCTGAATTATTACAAAATTAAAAGACATCAATTAATTATTTTTATTTTCTAATTACAAGTAACATAGCAAAATATTCACCCATTAGATTGCATCTCAAATTATTGCTTATAGCCCGAAAGAATGAATTAAGTACGATATGAACAAAAAATTGAAATTAAACAATTACATTTTTTTCTCTATTGTAATAAGTACCAACCAGTTATAAACAAGGAACTCATTGCAACACTAAATCGCTTTAAAAAGCATACCAATTCAATTATTTGGTAATAGTTAAAAAATAAATATCACGATAAGCCACTGAACTCTACCAGTTAAACAAATTAAAATTCGATCATTAACAATTTAATTCTGTTTCACTGTTTTTCTCAATTCCCAAAACTTTTTTCGAAAAATTTATTTTCGTGTAATAAATTCACGAAATAAATTCTCATTAAAATAAAATGATAAAAATCAAAATTTGCTAAGAGGCCTATTAATTTATTATTTTCCAAAAATTTCAATCAAAAGCGAAGTTTAAGAATCGTAAAGAATATTCAAATAACTACACACAGAATCAAAATAAGTAGGGTTTTGAAAATATTGTAATACCTTCACAAAAATTTACCTTAAGAAAAAGAACTGATCTAAAAACTTACACCTTACAACCAAAATGAATTAAAATAGTAAGTTTAATTTTCACTCAATTTAATAAATTTAAGCATGTAAATAGAAAAACAAGTAATATAAAATAAAGTTTTTTTAAAGTCATTTCCTACTTAGGTCAACAAAGAAAAGATTTAGGTTATAACTACTTTTTATTAAACAATTACACTTAATATAAATATGTATATACATATGACAGAATCACAATATTATATATATATGGTGGATCCATAAAGCATTGCTAACCCTAATTCGCTGGCCTAATTCAGCGACAGCTTTAGAAATCATAATAGGTCTCCAGTTTAGTCCAAAGACTTTTTTTGGTATTCATTTGTTGTGTCTGGTGAATTCCAATTTCTTCTTTCTTTAGCACTGTAGGTTCTAGTACTTCTTCACTTTTATTTTATATTACTATATATATATATATAAATATATATATATATAAGAGGTAATATTAAATTTTCATTTCTATATATGGTGTCGGACTACTATTTTTGTTTGTTGCTGTTTATTCATTCATAAATCACATTCTTAGAAATTAGACCATCCCAGGTAGGATTCCAACCCACGACATTTGGATTAGAAGTCCAACACGCTATCCATTGCGCTATAGAGACACAAAGAGCGATTTTCCTTTCTATATATGGTGGTGGACTATTCTTTTTGTTTGTTACTATTAATTAATTAATTAATTAATTAATT